ATGGGGTTTCGCCATGTTGGCCAGGCTGGTCTGGAACTCCTGACCTCAAGTGATCCGTCTGCCTCATCCTCCCAAAGTGCTGGGATTACAGGCGTGAGCCACTGCGCCTGGCCTGCTCTCATTGATTTTTATGGCTGAGTAGTACTCCATTGTGTTTATGCAACCCATTCATCTGTTAGTGGACATTTAGGTTGCTTCCAGATGTTAGTCATGGTAAACAAGTAGTGCTGCACCAAAGATAGAAGTGTGGATCTCCCTACGATAGACGGCCCTCCTTTCTGTTGGGTATGTACCCCGGAGTGGCATTGCTGGGTCATATGGTAGCTCTGTTGTGGGTTTTCTGAGGGACCTCCGAACCGCTCTCCATGGTGGTTGTACTAGTCTCCATTCCCAGCAACAGTGCGTGAGGATTCCTTTCTCCGCGTCCTCACCAGCATTTGTTACTGCCTGTCTCTAGGATAGAAGCCATTTTAACGGCGGGGAGAGGAAATCTCATTGCAGCTTTTACTTGCATTTCTCTATCAGTGATGTTGAGCACTTTTCTTGAAAACATTCTGAGTAAATCCTTAAAAGGTGCAATACTATTGCTTCCAAAATGGTGGAACTGGGCCCTGAGACTGATCTGAACTTTGCTTTAAGGTGGCAGCATCCTGAGTACTCGCTGTTCTGAAACGTACGAAACCAAAACGGCCCTGATGAGTCTGTTTGGGATCCCGCTGTGGTACTTCTCGCAGTCCCCACGCGTGGTCATCCAGGTGAGTGGCCGCCGGTGGCCGGAGCTGCTCTTCAGCATGGGCTCTGTTAGTGTTCACAGGTCGTACGTCCCCAGCCTGGCAGAACTTCGTGAGATGAACATGTCTGTGGAACTGGTACCACAAGCAGCAGCAGTGTTCCCACACCGAGGAGTCCCCGTGTAGCCTCCACGCTACACGTCTGTTGGCTTGGGTTTAGCGTCGCAAAGATGGGACCGTGTGGCACATGCTGGTCCCGTCGGCCCTCCTCCCTCCCTCTTTTGGGTGGTCCAGCCATGGTGGTGTGAGTGGCAACTGTTCCTGCTCGGGGCTGTGGGTCTTCCGTCACGAGAGTGTCAGCTGTGCTTTCTCGGGTGTTGAGAGAGAATAGGTGGGGAGGCCCTTGCTGTCTGGCCTCGGTGTAGGCCTTTACCCCCCGTCTCCCAGGCCTTCACCCCTCGTCTCCCAGGCCTTCACCCCCCGTCTCCTGGACGTTCTGCTATCGTCCTTGTTGTGTACTGCTTTTCTGTGGCTTCGTTTAATACTTTATACTATTGACTGTACAAGTTTAAAGCACTAAAGGATGGAGAATTTAAACAGATAGATCTATTTTGCCTCAGTACTCAAATCCTGCCTAATATTCATGACATGTTTTGAAGAAAAGTCCAGTAATTCCTTGTATGTGGAACAATGCCAAGACAGCTTTCACTTGGAAAACACAAGTCCAGCCTGAAAGAATTCATGACATGCCCGTGACCTGAAGTTGAAGGTCCTGCGGGACTGTCGTCGTCATGATCTCGTCCCCAGGCCACCCCGGTGGAAGTGTCAGGTCAGCAGGACTGTTTGGCTTTCTGTGGCCATCAGCAGCACACAGACTCACCAGCACTTTGCTCCCGAGGGCGCAGCCGGGAGCCCTCCTCACTGCAGGCAGATGCAGCCTCTGCTGCCGTGAAGCCACACAGCCCTGCGCTTGGCATGCAGCTGGTTTTTCCGTGCCAGCTCGCGAGCGCCACCGGCACAGTCTGTGTCACCCGGCAGGGCCGACAGGTTTCCTGCACGGGGTTGCCACGGTGTTCCTGCATGGTGGTTCTCCTGCTCCTGGCCGTAACCTCCTTCTCAGTGGGCTTGGTGATCCTGACCCTCCCAGAGGAGCTCACTGGCCCGCAGCGTCGTCAGTGTGATGCTGGTGGGGATCTGGGGGTGAGAGTGCAGCGTGGCTTCAGTGTCTCAGAGACTAAGGGAGAGGGTGGAGCTCAGCCCTCCCTGGCACAGTTCTCTCTCGGCAGGAACTGTACGTCCCTGGAGGGGCAGACTTCATGTAAACCGCCGTCACTGTGATGGGACTGGACCGCGAAGCTGTCGGCTCCTGGGAAGTAAAGAGAACGTTTACAGAACATAGGGACAGCAGATGGAAGGGACCACAGTGGAGCCTCGCCAGAGGGTCGCTCCAGACCTTTGGGCGAGGGCGTGGCCCAGCTCACTGCACGTCGGGGAAGTTGCTGTGGTGCCACACCGAGGAATGTGCCAGCATGCTGGGAAAGCCTGTGCACAGCAGGGTGACTCACCAGGCGTTTGGCTGCAGCACTCCCAAGAGGGGAACCAGGGAACCTCAGTGTCCCTCCAGCACCCTGAGCTGGCAAGGGCTAGGCTCTGCGCTGGCAAAGGGAGGCAGTTCAAGGCTCAGCTCCATCTTCACAGCGCAGCAGAAGGGTGGCTTGGGGGCTGAGGGGCAGTAAATGCACAGCTGGCATAGAGGAGAAGCCGGCGGGTACGTGCCCATTGTTCACCGTCTCGTCTAAACATGAACTAACGTGTGTGTCATTCTCACACACCGAAGGCAGGCTGCCTGCACGGCGGTCTCCTCCATTGCACACAGCAGCATGACTGCCTGGACACAGCGTCTGCAGCTTCTCAGCCAGTCCCTGTGTGTGCCTGGGGACGTCGCGCTGTGAGGCGTGCTCTCGGTCGCATCTGCATCCTGCAGTTCTGTCCCTGCACCTGGAAGTGGAGGTGCGACTGCAGGCCAGAGGCAGATGTGTGCACAGTGGGCTGACCTCGCCAAGCTGCGCTTCTGGGGCTGCACGCCGCACCGTGGCCGGCGGTGAGAATGTGCATCTCCCCAGGGCGTCAGCGGCAGACTCTGTTAGACCCTTGATTTGATGTTGGTCGGATAGGGGGCAGTGGTGGTTCCCTGTGATGTTGTCCCTTCTTGCTGTGCAGGGTGGAGGGCATCTTCCCACGACCGAGGACCACTGACGTTCACCTTTTCTTTGAAGTATGTTGTATGTCTCACCCATTTTTCTTTAAGGTTCTGGTCATTTTAACTTTTATACAACATACAGGCTGGAGATAATGGCCCTTTGAGGAGTGAATTACAAATGTTTTTCCCAGTTTATCTTCGGATTTTGCTCATGGCAGTTTCTACCATGTAAAAATTATTTTTAGCTCAGTATAATCAGCCTTTCCTCTTACTGCTTCTAAGTGGGTAAGAGCATGCTCACACTCTGAGTCCTCATGTTTTTCCTTTCCTCAGCCTGACATTTACCCCGGTAACTGCTGGGCATTTAAAGGCTCCCAGGGGTACCTGGTGGTGAGGCTCTCCATGATGATCCACCCAGCCGCCTTCACTCTGGAGCATATTCCTAAGACGCTGTCGCCAACAGGCAACATCAGCAGCGCCCCCAAGGACTTCGCCGTCTATGTGAGTGCACGTGGCCGCCTCTCCTCCTCCCACACCTTCCTGGGAGTTCCCACAGATGAAAGCAAGTGACGTGAGCGCACTGGGGACGGCTGCCTCCGGCCGCCCTCTCTCAGCAGATTCAGTGTTGAGGGGAACATTCTAGTGTTTTTCCAGGGAGGGTAACTTAGAAATGGCATATTACCTGATGTCCACTTTACATACAGTACTACACTGACCAAGGCAGACACGCCTAAGGATTTTGCTCTTCGCCGCCTTTGCCAGGTTGCCTGTGACAGGTGTTCGGGCAACTGGGTGACATGGGAGCAGCTAACTGACAAGAGGACTGCCATGATCCCAGCCCCAGAAAAACCCGCCATTAATACTGTGATACTTTCTGGTTTCTTCCGCATGCCTTTTAAAGAATACAGTTGAGTCTGTAATCCCAGCACTTTGGGAGGCCAAGATAGGCGGATCACCTGAAGTCAGGAGTTCGAGACCAGCCTAGCCAACATGGTAAAACCCGGTCTCTACTAAAATATACCAAAAAAAAAAAAGCCAGGCATGGTGGTGCACGCCTGTAATCCCAGATACTTGGGAGGCTGAGGCAGAAGAATCACTTGATCTAGGAGGCGGAGGTTGCTTTGAGCTGAGATCGTACCACTGCACTCCAGCCTGGGCAACAGTGAGAGACCCTGTCTTAAAAAAAAAAAAAAAAAATTACAGTTCAGACAGTAGTGTTTATGAACCTTTAAAATTTTCATAAAACATTTCATAAAAGTATTTCTGCCCTTAAAAAAAAATTGGCCAGGTGTGGTGGCTCACGCCTGTAATCCCAGCACTTTGAGAGGCCGAGGCAGGTGGATCACCTAAAGTTGGGAGTTTGAGACCACCTTGGTCATCATGGTGAAACCCATCTCTATTAAAAATACAAAAATTAGCCGGGCATGGTGCGTGCCTGTCATCCCAGCTACTCAGGAGTCCGAGGCATGAAAGTCACTTGAACTTGGGAGGCAAAGGCTGCAGTGAGCCAAGATTGAGCCACTACACTCCAGCCTGGGCAACAGAGCGAGACTGTGTCGCAAAAGGAAAAAAAAAAAAGGAAATTGTATTACGAGCGTTTTTCCGTGGCAGTTAGACTTTATGGCCATCCTCAAGTAGCGTCAATCCTCCATGCTTATCTGGCCGGTTCTCCTCTCACTGAGTATTTCTTTCCCTTTTCTGCTTCCCTGTGTAACTGCCGCTCCTTTACACCTTCACTAATCCCCATGGACAAGACACTCACAAGTGGCGTCACGGTTTCAGAGGCCAGCAGCATGTTTTACGGCCAAGTCAGTGCACTGTGTTACTAGCGTTTTCTTTTTTCTTTTTCTTTTTTTTGAGACGGACTTTTGTCTTGTTGCCCAGGCTGAAATGCAGTGGCGTGATAACTCACCACAACCTCTGCCTCCCGGGTTCAAGCGATTCTCCTGCCTCAGCCTCCCGAGTAGCTGGGACTACAGGCCACGCCACCATGCCTGGTTATTTGTATTTTTTTTTTTTTTTTGAGACAGAGTCTCACTCTGTTGCCCAGGCTGGAGTGCAGTGGCGCAATCTCAGCTCACTGCAAGCTCCGCCTCCTGGGTTCACGCCATTCTCCTGCCTCAGCCTCCCAAGTAGCTGGGACTACAGGTGCCCACCACCTCACCCGGCTAGGTTTAATTTTTTTGTATTTTTAGTAGAGACGGGGTTTCACCGTGTTAGCCAGGACGGTCTCGATCTCCTGACCTCATGATCCGCTCGTCTCAGCCTCCCAAAGTGCTGGGATTACAGGCGTGAGCCACCGCGCCCAGCCCTGTATTTTTATTTCACTGGTGATTATCAGAGGCAGTAATTACTCACTCGCTGGAATTTCTTTAGATCTAGGGAGCTGGAACTCTCTAGAAAGTCCTTTCCCATTTCAAAACAGATATGCAAATAGTCCCCTGTATCTTCTGCTAGTTTTCTGACTCTGGTAAAATACAACATAAAGCTTACCATTTTAATAAGTGCATAGTTCGGTGACATTAAGTCCAGTCACACTGTCGTGCTGCCATCACCACTATCATCTCCAGAGCTGCTCCATCTTCTAGTCTGAATCTCTATCCCCACTGAGCCCTGACTCCCCACACCCCAGCTTGGCCCAGCACCCCCTTCTGCCTGCTCTCCTGCTGGAGTTGGTCTTCTGTGGCCCCTCCTCCCACTAGTGAGGCCTCGTCTCCCGAGGCTCAGCAGGTGCTCCAGAGCTTCCACTGTGCAGAGGGCAGCAGCTGAGCATGGTCTGTGCATCAGGCGGGGTCACTTCTCTGACACACATGAGTGTGTCCTGTTTTGGCCACAGTTTTCCTAATGTGTATAATGGGGGGAGTCGTGCTGACCTCAGGACGTGTCATGGGTTATGTGAAGCCCTCAACAAAACACACCCCTTCCTTCCAGGGAAGGCCTCATGACTGTGCCGTGGAGGAGTGACTTTCTCTAACTAAGTGGAGGGAAACGGTCCTGTTTGCTCAGTGTTAGCTGTGGAAGGGAACAGTTCTCTCTGCTCAGTGTTACTTTTCCATTAGTTCATGATTGTATGGTCTCGATTTCAGGGATTAGAAAATGAGTATCAGGAAGAAGGGCAGCTTCTGGGACAGTTCACGTATGATCAGGACGGGGAGTCGCTCCAGATGTTCCAGGCCCTGGTAAGAACCGGGACTTGCACTGCCCTGGGGTCTCTTGAGTCCCACAGCCTCTCGTGACAGCAGGGCCCAGCCGGCATCAACAGACTGGAAAGCAGTGTGAGGACCAGCCTTTGAAAAACGTTAACCTGCGTTTCCTGGCTCTGCATTAATGAGCCTTTCCGTGGCTAATAGAGTTCTCAGTTTTACCCGTGCTTCATGCCCCGTGATACATTACTTACAAGGATCATATTAAAGAGTTAACTTCCGGCTGGGCATGGTGGTTCACGCCTGTAATCCCAGTACTGTGGGAGGCTGGGGCGAGTAGATCACGAGGTCAGGAGTTCGAGATCAGCCTGACTGACCAACATGGTGAAACCCCATCTCTACTAAAAATACAAAAATTAGCTGGGCGTGGTGGCACGTGCCTGTAATCCCAGCTACTCGGGAGGCTGAGGTAGGAGAATCGTTTGAACCCGGGAGGCAGAGGTTGGCTGAGATTGCGCCATTGCACTCCAGCCTGGGTGACAGGGCAAGACTCTGTCTCAACAACAACAACAAAAGGTTAATTTCCAATTTAGCTGCTTCCTGTCAGACGTCATATTTGGGGAAGTGATTGGGCTTGGGGTTATAAATATGAAATACATGTTTTGTTTTGTTTTTTCCTCCTTGATTTCAGAAAACACCCGACGACAGAGTTTTCCAAATAGTGGAACTTCGGATTTTTTCTAACTGGGGCCATCCTGAGTATACCTGTCTGTATCGGTTCAGAGTTCATGGCGAACCTGTCAAGTGAAGACGCTACTCATTATTTTTGTACATTTTTGTATATACTGGGACAGCCTGAAACACTGGAATCCTTCGTGGACGAGGGCATATACACTGATGGGACAGTGCCACTCCTTCAATAAACGTGGCTGCTGGCCAGGGACTAGAGCGTGTGACGGGCGCCCTGGCGCCACCTGTTGGGTGCTCACTGACTGCATGCGCAGAGGGGTCAGCAGCAGGGGGAAGCGTGTTGAACACGTGTCTCAGACGCTCCTTGTTTTTAATGGGAAGTTCTTTGTATTTGCATTTCCTTGACAACAGGAGCAAAGCAGAGGAAGCTGAGAGTCTGGCGTGTTCTTGACGCTTTGGTCTTGAGCCTTGCACTGGCTCTTCTAAAGGACTTTTGGAGGGCAGATAATTTCATCTGTTAAATCCAACACACATTTCTTTCAGGGAAAAACAATGTCACCAAATTTTCAGAGTTCTAAACTCCTTTCCTTCAAGCCGGGATTTTCCTTTATTCAGCACCAGTACGTACTAAGTCTCCAGATGGGGAAATGACTAAAATGGGTTTTTCTGCTTTGTTTGCTCTACTTCTGAGAAAGGTTTCCAGTCTGGACTCGCTGTACCAATATCCGTGGTGGAATATGGGAGCGTTTCATTCTCCTTGTAGGCTGAAGTCAGTCTGACTTGAAGGAGGCTGGTTTAGATCTAAACAAACACCCAGATGGGGTTCTTTGGCCTCAGCAAGGCTTTTCCTGTTGGGATTCACAGTAAACAGAAACCCAGAAATCTCACCTTGGGTGTTTTCAGGGGTCGTTTTGAGTTTTGCTGAATAGGGAGCACGAGATACCCTGAGCCTTCCTCTCTTCACTGGTGGTGATCAGAGGAGCTGTCTGGTGTGTCAGGGTCGTGAAGCCGTTACATTTCAGGACGATCCTCTTTCCTTCAGCAGCACTTCTTACTGGCTCTGGCTGGAATCTGCCTTTTATCACAGCTGTCACCATTCTCACGTGATTCTCGTGAGACACTCTGGTTATAATTACTATTTAATATTTAGACTGTTTTACTGAGCAGACTTTATAATAATGAGATATCTGCAAGGCACTTAAAGTGTTACAGATGTTTTACCTTAAGAATTATTTAAGTTGTGTTGGGTTAAGACAGTTTTCGGTGTACCATAAATGTTGTGTTTTCAGAAAAAGACAAAACGATGGTGCTGACTGGTTTTCTGTATATTGCACAACAGTCCTCAAATCCACGAAACTATTCATACATCAAGCAGCATTTTTTTCACTCTCCTTAGAATTGGAACTATGCAGTTAAAGCGGATAAAATGTACAGATGTTTCATATATTACAGGTTACATATATAAATCAAAATTTCCTATATAAAACTGATTTGGGATTTGGGGTGGAAATATTTTGAATATTTATTTTTAAAGATGCAAGATAGGACTTTGTGCAATGTATTTTTGTAAATGCTTTTCAAAATATCTGTCTTTGGTAGTGCTGCTGCTGCCACCAAATTGGTAAGATGCTATTAAGAGGTTTAAATAAAGAGTTTTAATTTTTAAAAGTTCATGGGATATAAACAGTATTTCTTTTCTCAGTTTATCTGTCTCTGCCCCCGGGATGTGGGGAGGGACTGGGTTTGCTGGCTGTTGTTGGCAAGCTCTGTGGCACAGCCTTTGAATGGTAACCTGTCCTCCAAGGCCTTGAGGCCTCAGGTGTGCTGGGCATCTCTTTCTGTAGGGCACCATTTCCACTTGGAAAACGGACTGAATTACAAGTTGCTTGATGGGCAGAACGTTAGGCTTTCCTCAGGACACAGTTTTCATCGCTGCTTCTGTAGCTGAAGGCAGGTGCTGACACCAGGTCACAGGTGATAGCACACACACCACACTGTTTCGCACCTGGCTTTTCCCCAGTTACCAAGTGTGTCCCGTAAGAACCTTTTTTTTTTTTTTTTTGAGACTG